AGTGGTATACTAGTACGATTAATGTTGTATCATTGATCACATTATGAATGTCCATATGATTCATCGTAATTGCTCTAGTGATATGACTTGCATTATCACCCACATAAATACCATCACATGATGGTCAATGGAGGCATTCATCATGCCTACTATGCAATGTTATTGCCCAATTAACATCACTTATCATTGACCACATTATGACTGTCCATATGATTCATCGTAATTGATCATATTCAATAGACAATTCACTAACCGTTTAACCATGCTAATGCTCTAATGATATGACTTGCATTATCACCCACATAAATACCATCACATGATAGTCAATTGAGGCATTCATCATGCTTACTATGCAATGTTATTGCCCAATTAACATCACTTACATAGGGAATATTTTGATGATTTGATCTTTTGAAAATCCGTATTATCCGGACATTTGATATGCAATATAAATAATATAAATGAAGCAGCAAATTAACATGTGAAACAAGAATATTTTCTTTTATTAATAAAATATTTACAAGATATAATATCCTGAAACCGACAACATGAATGGTTCCTAGGGCATATACTAACACAAAGTTGTCAAGATATGGCTTGAGAGCCTATGACTTAAAGGACTTTGCAAGTTGGTGTTACTTCTTTTTTATTGGTTTGCAATTCCTATATACTAAGTTAAGAAAACTAAGTGAGCAAGCATGAAGACTAGTTATGGTAGTTAAGTACGAAAATGGAACTAGTGCAAAGATATAAAAGCATAAGGCTTTATAGCCAAAGACCTTACAACACAACCCAATAATTCAATCGTCCTAACTGGCCTTTACCGTGGCCAACAGAACAAAAATACAAAGGGCTCACTAGAGCCATCGTTCACATATTTAGAGAAACAAAAGAACATGAAAATAAAAGGATCATGCTTCAGGGGGAGTGCCTAGAAGGTTGGTTTCAACACCCACAATGTCGATGTATGAAGGACTAATTATGTTCAAAGGCTGGGGATTTTCCACTTCAAGTTGAGCCCTTGCAGAGCCAAGCACAACATCCTCTTCTCTCTCTTTTGAGCCAGTAGATTCAAAAGCTTTCCACTCATGCTACTTCTCTTGGCTGAAACCAAACTGCATCCATGAAAGGTCTGCACCCTTATCCCCCTGTTTGAACTCAAACTAAGCCAACTGTTATCCCTCAATATATAGCCTTGCTGGTAGAGTTTGCAATTGTCTCCTCATGCTTCTTTCTTTCTTCTACCCCTCTAATACTTTAATTAATATAGCCATATGTGCATAAATAAAACAAGAATAAGTAAAAAAAAAAAAAAAAAAGAAAAAAAAATCATAATGACGTTATTCTCACAAGATTTCAAGTTATAATATCACGAACTTACCTTTGATAAAGAATGCAACAAAGAACTTAATCTTTTAAAGAAAACAATCAACAATAACACACAACTTTTGAATAATTAATCTCCTTTGGGATGAAAAATTACCTAGGCAATAGGCTACTATTAATTAATCCATGCTTCCATTATATAAAATACATAAGAACTGTCTTTTGGTAGGTTACTGTATATAAAATATAGAGAAGCAAATTTCCTAAACAAAAGATAGAGAAATGTATAAGTATCAATAAATAGACTGCTTCGGTAATTACCAATCCTCTTAACTCATAAGTTCTCTAAACAGGAATTTCATGATTTTAATAACATGTCTGTAAATTAACAATCAATGGCAAGCCATATAAGAAAAATTCCAACCGGAAAAAGATAAATGTTTCTTAAATTGTGCAAGTAATTTGGATAGATCCATGTTGCTGGCGTTTATGAAGAATTGAAGTTCAGAAATTGTTGGGAAATGGTTGTTTCATTGCGAAGGCGTGGCTAGGAAAATCTGGCTTTTATTCATTGTAAAAAGTTTATTTCATCATTATTATATTTTAGTTAATATTTAATCAAATCTCAAAATGAAGGACACTATAATATTTTAAGCAAAAGATACACTTCCATATGACAAAAAGATAATTCTTTAAACCCCCTAATGTTTGGTCAAATCCAAAAGACCCCCTCAAGTACCAGTAATGATATAAAACTCTCTATCGTCTATAGACGTTAATATAATCCCGTTAAGATTGTCAGATGAGGGGTAACACGATCATAACACATGCTTGAGGGGGTTTCTCAGGGTTTGGGCAAACCTCTGGGAGTTTAAAAAAAATTATTCCTTTCTTTGTTGTAAGCAAATATTTATGGTTAAGGCTAAAAATAGTATTTAACCTTTATAGTTGTGTAAATTGTTAGTTCTGTTAACATCTAAAAAACGACAAGAGGTTTTGCATCATTACTGGTACTTGAGAGGGTTTTAAAAGTTTGATCAAACTTTACAGGGTTTAAAGTAATTATGCCATATGAAAAAAACTTTATAAACGCTTGTAAGTTAAGAGGGAATTTGGATCATATAATGTTTTATTATAGGAGGATGTTATATTAACGGAAACATAGATCACCTTGAAGATTACTAAGAATGTTTAGAAAATGTATCTGGTTTGTTCGAATAAATTGGTGAATAATATGTTTGGTTATGAAGATAAATAGGTGGGTATGTTATATAGATTATTAAATTGTCCTCTTTTTTAAATATTAATATAATATAATATTATTTTTTGAACCATTCTTTTAACCCCCTACATTTGAAATTTTGCTAAAACACCCCAGCCATATAAAACTTTAATTTGTAGCAAAATCATCCCCACCCACTAGACCTGGCAAAATGGGCGGACGGACCGGATGCTGGTCGGGTCTAAAAGGGTGCGGGCCTCACAGGTACGGGCCCAAAACAGGTCGATTTAAACGGGCCCAATATTTTGGACCCCCACCCTACCCTATGCAGGTACGAGTGGACCCATGGGTGCCCGTACTGTTCACTCTAGTTTTAGATTTTTGTAGTTACACCCCCAAATCTTTTCTCCCAAGTTTTCTCACCAACCAAACAGAAACTCAGAACCTAACAAAGAAAAAGATAAAAAACTTGTATCAAGCTATAAGTATATTGATTTTCGACAAACTAGTATCAAGCTAAGGTCGAAGATAAATCGACTTAACCGATATCAAAGCAAAGGTCAAATTGCACACAAAAGCCTCAAGATATGGTAAGAATTTACATATCTAAAGTCATTAGGAAAACTGGCCTTCACACCCTCGGTGGTTTAGGATTTCATCCAGACCACACTTTCCTTACCCTATACTCCATTGATTCATACACTATTTTTTTCTAAGGAATTACTCTACATGCTCTGGTACTCCTATGCCTTCCCTTTGAATAGACCTTAAATTATCTCTTTGACCTTCAGCAACCTTGGACAGACCAAAAAGATGGTGCTCTTCAATGGTTTCATTCCATATCGTGGTGGTTTTCTTCCTTCAAGATTTACTCCAACCTTCAATGTTGCTAGATTGTAGCCAAGGAGAAGCTGAAGACGCTGGAGAATCAACTCCAAGAGTTGGAGCTGTTGAAGAGTGAAGAGTAAAGATGAAGGATATGAGATCAAATCGGCGACGGTGATACACATACCTGATGCGCCGATAGTGGAGTCTAAAAACGTGGCTGATGAGAAGCAGAGACAGGAGAAACGATGACGGTGGAGTTAGGGATTTTGATGATGATGAGTTTAAGAGAAGGCTGATGAGAGAGTGAGTTTGAGTTAGGTTAGGGATTTTGCGATTTGGGGCAAAATGAAAAGGGGAAAGGGTTTTTTTTTTTAAAACACAAACAGGTACTTGCAGCACCCGTAGGTGTACCTGCTTGACCCATTGGCAAAACAGGTAGGGCCGGGTACGGGTCGAAGAAAACGGGTCCAATATTAAAAACCCACACCCTATATTTTTTAACCGGGTTTAGGGTCAACCCGCGGGTCCAGACCCGTTTTGCCAGGTCTACCACCCACCCCCAAGCTATTGCCGGCAGCTAGCCACCACCGCTGGCCGTCGCCGATAGTCGATGGAATGGCATATGACTGGCCGAATATGGCCAGTCATGCGCCAGCAAAGCCATATCTAGCCATGGATCACAAATCCATGGTCGTTTCACAGTTAGATCTATGGCCATTTCACGACCAAAGATGTGGCCATGAAACGGTGCATGGCCATGAAATGGTTCACGGCCATAGAAACGACCAGATCTAGCTGAAAAGACCTTATCGACGCACAATCAGCCAGATACTGTCAGTCATGCACCATTACGGCGATTGACGTCAACGACCGACAGTGGTCTTGGGCTAGGGGTATTTTGTTAACTTTTAAATTTTTTTGTGGTTGGGGTGTTTTAGCTAATTTCTCAAATGCAGGGGGGTTGGGGTGATTGTCATTTGGTAGACATTTGAGGGCAATTGTGTCCAAAATGGTATTTAATCAAGGGAAAAATAGGTATAAAAATCATATTACTCGGTAATCTCTTAATCTTGGGGGTGGGAGAGGGTATCGGATTACCCCCATACATTACCAACAGTAAACACTATTTGCAATAAAAGATTCCCGTAATATTTTATTACTTACAAACCAAACACCAGAATCTTGTAAAATAAACGAAGATTATCCTGTTATCTTATATGCTCCGATCCAAACGCACCCAAGGGGTAAATGTAAATCCAATAACCACAAGACGTTAATAGTAATAGTTAAAAATTCAAGGTGGATTAAATTTTTTTCTCTCGATAAAGCAACAGCTGCAATGTTAGACTGTAGGCCGCTCTGCACGTGAAGCCATGAGAGTTATTATTTACAAAAATTACCATGTATTAGTGTAAAGGCAAAGCAAAAGCCTTTGGCTTCAGCCTTTCATCATTCTCGAGGAAAGTCTTTGATGTTGTCTACAACTCTCTCATCTCATCTGACACACTCCATTAGCATTCGTCATGCCACAAGAAAACGGCTTTTCTTTGCTGCATATATATCTTAATTGTTAGCACATTATATATTGCAGTGCAGGGCCTGTTTCCTTAATCGATGGACTTGCTACGCCCAGTGGCAGGCTACAATAATGTAGTACTTTTCCCTTATACCACATTTATGTCTCCGTGCCTTGTGCATTTAAAGATGCCAACTACTTCATGAAGAAGCATCCTATAAATGAAGCCCCAAGTTTAATTAATGTTGTTTGGTTTACTGTTTAGCTAAAACTTAATTCCTATATCATTTTTGTAAGGAAGATGGGAGGAAATTCTTGGTTGAGTGCAGTTAAGAGAGCTTTTTTGTCTACTACAAAGGATGATGAGAAGAGGAGAAATACTAGAGAAGATCTGCAGGAACAAGAGGAAGAAGAAAAGGTTGTCTAGAATTTCCAGTCAAGCTTTCAATAGACTTGTTCTTTTATTAATATATATTTATTAGTTTCAGTCTTCAACAACAGGGTCAGGAGAAATTAATTTCTTTGTGGTCTTTTGCAGAAGAGAGGAAAAAGAAGATGGATTTTCAAGAAGCCTTCGAATCAAGAAACAATTACACAACACCGTGAAGTGAGGACCATAACTACAACTGCAAACATTTCTGAAGCTGAGGAAAGACATGCTATTGCAGTGGCCATGGCTGAAGCAGCAGTAGCAAAAGCCCAAGCAGCTGTAGAGGCTGTTCGTCTTTCAAGGCCTTCTGTTTTGCTTAAACGGCACTTGGCAGCCATGGTTATACAGACAGCTTTTAGAGGATATTTGGTAGTTAATTAATTAAGAGTTTATTTTTATTTCATTTATTTTTACAAATTAAAGATGGTAAATTAATTAATGGGTGTGATTTTGAAGGCAAGGAGAGCTCTTCGTGCCCTTAAGGCGGTGGTAAAACTGCAAGCATTAGTTAGAGGCCACAATGTTCGAAAGAGAGCAAATATGACTCTTCGATGCATGCAGGCTCTAGTTCGTGTACAAGCTCGGGTGCGTCATCAGCGCATGAAGCTTTGTACTAATGACCACAAATCCATTATTAATGTAAGAGATTTAATTTTCCTATATTACTTCGTAATTAGTTTTGATTCTTAAGATAGCGCGAGCTTCAACTGGTTCTTGTGTTTCCAGTCTAGAGATGAAAGCAGTAATGCAGATGCAGATGATTGGCTCCATTGGGATGCTGACCCCCTGAAGACAAAAGAAGTTGCCTCGAAACGTGAAAAAGCTCTTGGTTATGCCTTCTCTCAACAGGTTTTAATTATGTCTTTACAGTTAACATTAATTAATTAAATTCTTCTCTAAATTATATTTATAACTTCCTTATTTCATGGTTTGAAAAAGATATGGAGAAGTTGGAGAGACGGCGTTCAAAGTGAAGAAGAGGTTGATGAGAAACCGGGTCCCAGTGGATGGCTAAGAAGAGAAAGAGAAAGTGAGCCCATAAAAACTGTTGAAGTTGATACCTCTCGCCCTCACTCCTACGTCAAGAAATCACAATTACAACATAATTACCAACCACAAAGACACAGTTCATATTCGGTTGCTTCTCCTCTCCGTTCAGGCTCACCCATCACACCATCGCCAACTGAAACAAGGCCACTTCAAGTGCATTCGGCAACAGTTCCAAACTACATGGTAGCGACTGCATCTGCCAGGGCACGATTTAGGTCACAAAGTGCACCAAGGCAGAGGCATTCAACTTCGGAGAGGGCGAAGAAACGCCTGTCTTTCCCAAATCCTGATACATATCTTAGTGATCATAGCAACCAGGAGCAGAGATCCAACGTGTCTTTCTGTAATGACAGCATGGATGACGAGATTTATCCACCTTCAACCACCAATGACCTAAGCAGGTGGATCAGATAATTAAGTCATCATCAGTGGCCTTGACCAAGATAGCATGGATAATTGACGAGCGTGATGCCTCAACCGTCAATTTTTTATTTTATTTTTTCTGTGCGAATTTTTTTAAATGCCAAAGTTCGTGTAAAATCCACTAAACATTATCTTTGCAATTAGTTCCTATATTTTGTATTTGAGAGAGTTTTTCATTGTTGGAGAGAAGAGTGTGCAGGGCAGGACATATAAGAGGCTAGGCCGAGAGAGTTTTTTAAAGGCTTTCATTTGTTGGGCGTGAGATAGAGTGACGAGTCTAACAATGTTAACTTTGGGTTTTAGATTTCTAGTTTACTTTGAGAGAGGTGCTAATCGTTTCCACTTCAATTATTATTAGACGATAATTCTAAATTTACCTTAAATTAATTTTTTTTAATATATATAAATATTTATTTAAAACGTCACCTATTTTTATCATAACCTATTTTATTTATATTTCCATTTCCCACGTATTACACCTTTCAAATATGTACATATTATTTTTAGTCAATATAATCAAATGCTTTCTTTTCTTTTATTTATTTATTTATTTTCTTTTTTTGGTAATCGGGAGTGTGCGGGTCAGTTTGAGAACACCTAAACTAATCTCTCAAGGTTTTGAAGTTGACAGTTGGATAAATCTCTTCAGTAATCACCCCTATTAATAATTCAGGTGGATCAAACTCTGGATTTTTTGAGTAATACACTCAAGAGTCCTAATTGACCATTGGGCTACTCAGTCTTTTATATTTTTACAACCACTAAAAAAAGATTTTTAATGAATTCATCGTATCTTTGATTGTTACTCACTTTAGAGTCCAAAGGTGCTATATTATTCATCATATGATATAAAAAAAAACATCACTAAGTTCTTAAAAATCTTTGAGAGACAATTATCAATACATTAAAATTGTAAACATCAACTTATATTAAAAATATGATTAAGTAACATAAATGATAAAGTAAAAAACAAAAGTGATTGTACAAAAAAAATCTGAAGAAGATTGGCCTTTGTATATTCTTTCTTTTCTTCTAATGAAATTTAATTACCCAAAAAAAAATGTGAAGAAGACAAACATAACCAAATTAAATAATAACTAATATATTTTATGTTTTATTTAGTTAGAATTAAAATTTAAGAAAAACATAATCATTGGGTCTAATAAGATAAAAGAGGGCCAATAACATTACTCTTAGGAGCCGTTTAGATTGGGGGTATATAAGATAACAGGGATAATCTTTATTTATTTTGCAAGATTTCGGTATTTAGTTTGCAAGTAATAAAATATTACAATAATCTTCTATTGTAAATAGTGTTTACTGTTGGTAATGTGGGGGTTAATTTTATTACCTTGTTAGATGATGTTATTTAAACATTATTGGGGTAATCTGATTTTTCTACCCATTTTGCCCTTAATTAAAAACCATTTCAGACACAATTGCCCTCAAATGTCTACCAAATAACAATACCCAACCCCCCTACATTTAAAAATTACTAAAACACCCCAACCACAAAAAAAGTTTAAAAGTTAACAAAATACCCACAGCCACCCAAGACCACCACCGACCGTGACTCACCACTGTCAGTCGCTGGTATCAGTTGCCGTAATGGTGCACGACCGATGGGATCTAGCCGGTCGTACGCCGTAAAGCCTTTTCTAGCCATGGATTGGAAATAACCAGATCTAGCATTTTTATGGCCGTGAAATGGCATGGCCAAAGATCTGGCCTTTTCAAAACCACATCTTTGGCCATGAAATGGCCATAGATCTAATCGTTTTTCAACCATGGATTTGTGATCCATGGCCATTTCTGGCTTTGTCGACGCACGATTGGCCATATACGGTCAATCATGCACCATTCCATTGACTGCCAGCAGTGGCTGACAGTGGCTTGGGGTAGGGGGATGATTTTGCTATAAATTAAAGATTTATATAGCTGGGGTGTTTTAGCAAAATTTCAAATGTAAGGGGTTAAAAGAAATAATAATAAAAAATACTATTATATTAATATTTAAAAATGTAGGCGATTTAGTAATCTATATAACATACCCACTTATTTATCCTCCCAACCAAACATATTATTCATCAATTTATTCGAACCAACCAAACATATTTTCTAAATATTCCCAATAATCTTCAAGGTGATCTTTCTTTCCATTAGTATAATGTACCCCTATAATAAAATATTATATAATCCAAACACCCTCTTACTCTAAAGCTTAAAGCTCTGAGTAGCTTTAAGTAGCTTTTATGTGTTTTTTGTCATGTATTTGTGAAGTGTATGAGTTGTTCTTAAGTGTGATGGTGCATTCTTCTTTGATATTACCAAGAGAGCCCACGACCAAACACAATGTAGATGTAGAGCTTGTTAACTTGAACCATCATAAAAGGAAGTGATTTTTAGCTCCCATCTAATTTATAAGTATCCCCTACTTCTATTTTTTTTTTTTTTTTCTTTTTAACATGTTTAGCCTTGTGAAAATTATTAGAAATGATATTATAAGTTTTAAGTACACCCATACTCTATTTTATACTTTTCTTGTAATTTTTCACCTTTAATTCTTACATAAACTCTAACTCTAAATTTTTATAATCAATTTGAAACTTTTTTGTTTTATTTCAAATATTAGTTTAGTAATCATACAACAGGATAAATTTGAATCTAAAGAAGAAATATTAAGTTCAAATTTGAAATTGAGGAAAAAGGAGTGTAAGCAAGAAACCTAATTAAGTTTGAAAATGAGGAAAATAGGTATAAAAAACAAAAAAAGAACCTATTAATTTTGAAACTGGGGGATAGGGTAAACAAAAAAATTTAATCAAGTTTGAAATTAAAGAAAATTGCTGTAAAAAAAAAAAATACTAATTAAGTTTAAAATTGGGACAAATGGGTATAAACAAAAAACCTAATTAAGCTTAGTGAACTATTTTCAGTATTAAATAGAGTTTAAAAAGAAATTTATTTTTTTTTTAAATAAAAAAGAATTGTGTTTGGCATTAAAGGATAGTTATAAATTAGACGAAGGCTAAAATATATTTTCCCACCATAAAAGCTTTGTGCATTGTTGTTGTGTATTTGTTTATAATAAGATAAAAAGTGGGGCTCAATAATAACATCTTATTTAATATATGTTGAGAGAAATGTATCTCTCTAGGGGCATTTGGTTAGGGGTTATATGAGATTACTGTAGTTAAGTCATTTTATATTACTTGATTATCATGTTTGGTTGTCAAGTAATATAAAATTTCAGTAATCTTCCAATACTAATAATAGTTACTGTTAGTAATATTAAAGGTAATTTGATAACCCTCATTTTCTTAGGTATTATAAGATTACCAAGGTAATCTTATTTTTGTTACAATTTTATCCTTTATTAATAAAATTTTAGGACAGTAATACCCTTATTTTTAAATTAATTTACATGAACTGACTTTTACTATTTAATCCTAATTAATTAACTTTTTGAAAAAAATTACCCTTGAAGTCAAAACAAATTGCAGCCCACCCAAGCCACCACCCCCACCCACTTGCCACCGCCGGCCAAACCATCACCGGCCATCGCGGGAAGTTGCCAGAAGTCACCTGGAGTCGTCGTGAGTAGCCCACCTCTCTAAGAGGCTCCAATATGGTCGTTTCTGGCCATATTGATGGTAAAAAAGGCCATATCAAAGCATATCTGGTTGGAAATGTCCAAAATAGATCTAGCCATTTCCAGCCAGATCTGCTTTGATATAGCCTTTTCGGCCATCAATATGGCCAGAAATGGCCATATCAGAGCCTCCCAACGACTCTTGACAATTTTTGACGACTTTGGCAACTTTCTGGCGGCAATCGGCTGTGGTTGGTAGTGGCTCAGGGTGGTGGGGGTTATTTTGTTATAAATTAAAGTTTTATACAAGCGGGGGTGTTTTAGCTAAATATGAAATGTTGGGGGTTAAAAAAATTATTCAAAAATTAATAATAAATATAATATAATATTAATATTTAATAAGAGGGCAATTTAGTAATTTAAAGAACATACCCACCAATTGTATTCCTCTCAACCAAACATATTAATATAACATATTCACTAATTTATTCCAACTAACCAAACACATTTCCCTAAAGATTCCCAATAATCTTCAAGACAATCTAACTTTCCAATAATCTAACATTCCCAATAATCCAACATTCTCTAAACCAAACGCACCTTCTAAGTTATCGTCTAAGCCCGAGATTTGGTAAAAGTACTCTTATAGCCTTAATTTTAGTTTTTGGATTAATTAGTATTTTGATTTGTAAAAGGTGAGATATTTTCTATGTTAGAAGATGTTTTATTAATTTCTTTTGTATTGTTTTCGTTAAGGTTGAGTATTTTATTACGGATATTTTATTTTTCGTAAATCATTTTATTAATTTAATTTTAACAACATTTTCCGCATAAGAAATGACGATCCTATATAATGAAATGCTAGAATTTTAAAAATAAAATAAAATAAAATAATCTTTCGCTAGTGGAATTTGCTTTTTTTTTTTTTTTTTTTTTTTTATAACAATTCTTTATCTTTAACCTTTAACTTTTGGTACTATACAGCGGAGTGAATACTTTAAAGCTTTGCATGCCTTTAGCAAAACCTTGGGCTGGTAGCCATTTTTATATGAAATATTTGCATGCGTTGGCTACACTTTCGTTAGAGAATGTCTAGGTATTCTACAAATCCAAGTTTGCTCAAATATCTAAGCAGCTTTTGCCGGCATGTTTCTCAACAATATAGTTTAGTTTCTATTTATTTTTTATCCATAAAAATGCTACTCAACATGACAGAGATTAACCACTTTTGTCATGAAATTCTAATGAGTTCATATTATGTGTCTTTCCTCCACCAATTTTGTTGTCACATATGCCCACACATTTGACACGTGGCTATCATTGATTCTTTAGGGTTTGTTTGTCGGCAGTGATTTAGTATCAATTCAGCCCATTGCTAATGTATTTCACACACATTCGA